TTCTGGTCAGATAGAGCGGGAGGGAGAGAGAGGAAAAGAGAGAGAGAGAAACATCGATGTGAAAAGGACACGTCGAGTGGCTGCCACCCGCACGACCAACCAGGGCCGGGGACAAACTGCAACCGAGGTACATGCCCTTAGCGGGAACCGAACCTGGGTCTCTCTGGACTGCAGGCCGACGCTCTAACCGCTGAGCCAAACCGGCCAGGGCGGAGCCTGTGTTCTTAACCTACCCCCACTGCGTCCTCTCTTCCAGCCTAAACTTCATAAAAAAGATTTGCTTTTACAGCTCTTATATCTGGATGTGAAGAGTTTTTAGATCATAATGCTGTGATTATTAACTGCACTCATCAAAGACTCATTTGGGAGGCAAGCAAAGATTGTTATGACATTGATGGAGTGTCGTTTTTAAGGATGTCGAACCAACCTGCTACGTGACCTTGGGCCAATCACTTAACCTTGGTGGGCCTCGTTGTCCTCAGCGGCGATAAGACGTGGTTTAATTAAATTATATCTTACGGCCCCTTAGGATTCTATGGAAGTAATAATAGTGAAGAAAGTCCCAATAGATTTCTAACAATGAAAGTTACTAATGAAATTTAAGGAGAATGAGAAGCTAACTATAACTCACTGGGCAAATTCCTTCTCCTGGAGATTTTCTTCAGCTGGGAGAAGAGTTTGGACATGAAGACCATGCTAAATTTTCTTTAAATTAAATATAATTGCTTCTCTTTAGTTTTAATATTATTTCTCGCCTATCACTTAAATAAGTTTTCTCATCACTGTTTTACTGCTTCTTTAATCATTATAATAAAAGCCAAAGGCAACGAAGTAGAAATTTCAGTTAACTAGCTGCCACTCGTTCATTTATCGATTCCGAGACGTCGTCCTCTTAGGAGGCGGGTATCAATCACAGGCAAAGAGCGGCTGCCGGAGACTCTCGCAGAGTGCTAGCAGGCAGTTCAATCCACCACATTCTCCTCCGTCTCCATTTTTAGAAGCGCATTATATTAATCATTCCTTTCGATAACAACCCTAAAAGAACAATGAAATCCTAAGCTGTCGATAAATATTTAATTCCTGTGCATTTCCCAGTCTCTGCTGGCGGAGGCAGAAAAGTCAGCGATGAGGGGGTAGTGACTTCTTGTTCTCCTTTCTTGTCGATCACCTTCTGCAGAGTCGACGGCGCCACCGCTAGGAGGCACTGAATCCCATCCTGTGATTACCTGACTCCGGAGAATCACGTGGGCTACATCTTTGGCTTCTATCACGTAAGAAAATTAATTTGAGAGAAAGAGAGAGAGAGAGAAGACACTGCTTGGTTGGTTCACTCACTGATGCATTCATTGGTTGTTTCTTGTGTGTGCCCTGACCAGGGATGGAACCCCCAACCGTGGTGTATCGGGGGGACACTCTCACCAACGGATTCACTCCACCAGGGCCTCTATTACTTTTTAAAATAACTGAAATCAGTATTGAAGTCATTACAGAATCAGAGAGATCCCGTGTGTATTCTGCCCAGTTTTCTCCCAAAAGAAACATCTGGCAAAACCATCATAGTGTCACCGAGACTGAGCCATTCGCTGATCTCAGCCAGGCCGTGCACCTGCTTGTGTGCACAGTTAATTCTTTACAGTTTTACCACCAGTGCAGGTTTGTGTAGCCACCGCTGCAGCTAAGATAACGTGCGATTCTAACACTGCAGAAATCCCTCATGCTGCTCCTTCATACCCCACACCCACCTGGCTCCCTCCCTCCCTCCCTCCCTCCCTCCCTCCCTCCCTCCCTCCCTCCCTCCCTTTCTAACCATGGCACCACCGATCTGCCCTGTTTCTAAAATGTTGCCATTTCAAAACTGCCATCTAAGAGGAGCCATTGGGTATGCACCCCCCCGCCCCCCAGCATAACTCCCTAGAGACGAGAGCAGGCTGTTTTGTGCATCAACGGTGTGTCCCTTTTGTCGCCGAGTAGTACTTCGCGGCATGGAGATACCGCCTGCATTATTTTTCATGAGACTACAATCTGAAATACGTTAGTGTTCCTTTCTCTTTCGCCTTTCTGAGTGACGGCCCGTGGCCAAGCCAACCCGAGACGCTCCTCTGTCTGTGGGGGGAGAGGGGGACGGGAACGGGGACGGAGGGACTCGTCCCGGCCGTGCTCAGTGTCCCACGCACCACAGGCCTGGGCGTGATGGAGCAGGCTCGGACGTGTCCACCACAGAGGCCTTAACATCTACCCCAGTCCCCAGACACCCTCCAGTCGCAGTAAGTAGCACCACCATTTACCCGGCTACTCAGGCCCCAAACTCGGGGCACCATGTTGGATGTCCCTTCTTCACCCACCACACCCCGTCTATCACTAAAGACTACGGGCTCTTCCTTCAGTATCTTTTTTTAAAAAAATTTTTTTTCCTTTATTGATTTTAGAGAGAGAGGAAGGGAGAGGAAGAGAGATAGAAACATGGATGAGAGAGAATATCAATTGGCCGCCTCCTGCATGCCCCCAACTGGGGATCGGGCCCACAAGCTGGGCATGGGCCCTGACCAGGAATCGAACTGGCCACCTCTTGGTGCAGGGTCAATGCTCAACCACTGAGCCACACCGGCCGGGCTCCCTTCAGTGTCTCTCTAATCCAAATGCTTCTCCAGCCCCCAGCACTGCAGTGACTGTCTCTCATCCGGTCGTTCCTGTCCACCCGCCCTGCCCACCCGCCCCACGCTGTGTGGGGCACCGCACCCAGCAGCTGGAATGACTCCTGATATCTCAGCCAGATCAAGGCCCCCTGCAGCTTCCGGCTCCCTGGGCATAAACTGAGGACTCTCTGCAGGGGTCTCCAACGCGCGCGGTCTGGCTGCGGGCTAAGCCTCCATCTCCATCTGCCCCTGCCCCTCTGCCTTGTCATCACTGTGTTCCCGCTGCTCTCGACAAGCCGAGCACATCTTACCTCAGCCTCCCAGCCTCTGCACCGCCGTCAGCCTTTCTGCCACCCTGCCTGGTGCCCGCGCCTCCTTTAGGCCTCTGCTTGCCCGCTGCCCCTCAGAGACAGCTTTCCTGCCCCCCTCGGCACCTCTGCCCCTCGTGGTCCCTAATCTTCCCTCGTAGCGTTTACCACGAGCTCACTTCATAGTCTGCAGTGATTCCTCGTTCGTGGCCCATGCTCACTAGAATACCTGCCTCACGAGGACGAGGACTTAGGGATATCACCTGGTGTATATAAGCACTCAGCATACTTTTTATTTTTTATATCCTCACTTAAGGATATTTTTGCATTTATCTTCAGATAGAGCGGGAGGGAGAGAGGGAAGAAGTGAGAGAGAGAAACGTCGATGTGAGAGAGGCACACTGACTGGCCGCCACCCACACGACTCCAACTGGGGTCGGGGAAAAACTGCAACTGAGGTACGTGCCCTTAGCGGGAACCGAACCCGGGACTCTCCGGTCCACATGCCAATGCCCCAACTGCTGAGCCAAACCAGCCAGGGCTACACTCAGCCTACTTTTTTTTTTCTTAATCCTCACCCGAGGATATTTTTCCATTTTTTGTACAGATAGAGTGGGAGGGAGAGAGAGGAAGGGAGAGAGAGAGAGAAACATCGACGTGAAGGGACACACTGAGTGGCTGCCACCCGTACGACCAACCAGGGCCGGGGCCAAACTGCAACCGAAGTTCGTGCCCTTAGCGGGAACCGAACCCGGGTCTCTCCAGACCGCAGGCTGACGCTCTAACCACTGAGCAAAACTGGCCAGGGCTTAGCATACTTTTGAGTGAATTAATGATTCCCCCCAATTCCTTTACTCAGACTTTTTTTTTAAATCCTCACCTGAGGACATTTTTCCATTTATCTTTAGATAGAGTAGGAGAGAGGGAGAGAGAAAGAGAAACATCGACGTGAAAGAGACACATTGACCAGTTGCTTCCCGCACGACCCTGACCAGGGCCGGGGATGAACCACAATCAAGGTACATGCCCTTGACCGGAATCGAATCCGCAACTCATTGGTCCACAGGCCGATGCTCTAACCACTGAGCAACCGGCCAGGGTTACTCAGACCTTTTAACTTACCAAGGACTAAGCAGGTCGCAGAGTTTTCCTGGGCTGCAGGGAATCTGATGACGGGAAGGTGGCAGATTGCATTCGCGCCCCCAACGCCCCCCCCCCCCCTCCATACCTGTGCCCTTAGCCACAGTCCGTTTCCCTTCTGCCTGCACCGGGCATGTGACTGACTATGGGCAGTGGCGCGTTAGTGGGCATGACGGGACCGAAGGCTCGGAGCGTGCTCGCTCGGGTGGCCCTGGTCCCTGTGCCTCTGCGTGAGAGGAGCTCACCCGGCTGCCCTGCGGTCCCAGGAGGAAGACAGCGGCATACCACCGGCCACTCCGCCCTTGGCGCACCCGCATATCCGTGAGAAGGGGCTGTCGTTCTAAGCCACAGGTTTGGGGATGGTTCCTTACAGGGCTCTTTTACCATTGACCCATGCTGATCACCACTCCCCACTGGACACAGGTCACCCTCCCCTTTGGCCAGTGCATCATCCACCATCTCCCTATTTCTACTTTCGGCTCACCCTGTACATTCTCGTGGTAAAAAAAACCAAAAAACCATTGGCTTCACCTTAATCATGGAACGAATACGTCGTCGATCGTATCAATAGGTTAGTCTAGATAGCACTGAGCGATAGGAAAGAAAAGGGTAAGGATGACCCATGAAGTCATGGTCACACACAGGGGAGCTCACGCACGGTCATTCTCAGGAGCGAGGGGACGAGAGAACCGTGTACCTTAAGCAGAGGTCTTGAGGACACCCATGGACAAGTTCTGTGTACCGAGCCAGGAGCAGACAACGGCCCTCGCTCGTGTGCTAACACCTGTCACGCACCAAAGAACTCTGGTTCCAACGCCACCGTTGACTCAGACGCCCCGACCACCAACCACAATCTGTTGCAAAGGCGAATTCGCGACTTTAGAATACAGGCTGTGAGCAACTTGCCCGAAGTTCTTACCTATAACTTTCCCCAGGAAGAGCGACTTGGGAGAGTTGAACAGTGTGTCAGACGAACTTGGCAGCTGGTAACTCACAGAAGGATAATGATCGAGCTGCAGGAAGGAAACGAGAGTCACTTTTAGAAGAATGTCTCTATCATGCATGGGCATCAAATCTTCCCAGGGTGGGGGCGATGACATCACCCTTAGAAACTTGGTTTCGGGATCTCTTATTTCATCAGAAGTCTGACTATTCCTTTGCTGGGGTTATTTGAAAGCAATATGACCTTGGTAAGTGAAGTCAGTTTATGAATTGTTCGCCAGTTTATGCACATTTTCCGTGCATAGTTTACCTCCTGGATTAAGATCCTTGTTCATTTTATTGGGATAAAATCTGCTGGATCCAATCTCCGTACTGACCTCTGAGATAGAAAATGCTACATCAAGAACAATGAATTTTGTTTAGGAGCCTGTTCCCTTCACCTTTTTGTACTATCAGCTTATAGACCAATATTGATTTCCAGAACATATACATACATACATACATACATACATACATATATTCACATATATACATGTATATATATTCAAATATAACTATGAATATATATTTCACATATGAATATATATATTCAAATGCTGAGGTTTCATTTGCTGGGTAAATACACATAGCTTTCTTGCTTATGAAAATGAGGCTAATTGCTCCTTTCTGCCACAGGGCAGGGACACCAGAGCCTGAAGGGCACAAAGACATTCCCAGGAGCAGAGCTGTCTTTCAGAGCAGGTGAGACGGCCCCGGGGGAGGGGAGGAGGAAGCCCACAGAAACAGCCTATATGGATGGCACGGGAGCAGCCCACATTTCTGACCACATTTCCCACGGCAAAGTGCCCACGGGGCTGTCCCAGAATCACAGGATTTGTCCTTTGTGTCCCTGCCTGGCTTTTCCTCCCTTAGCTGATTGAAAAACCGATAGTTTGTTTCCCGAACGGTGAGCTCCTGCAGCCTTCTGGGCTTCTTTGTATCCACTTGTGAAAAACCTCTTTTGTCACCTCGCTTTCTCTGAAGTGAGTTTGATACCTGGGAGGGACCCTGAGGGAGGGTGTGTGTCAGAAGAAAACCCTGCGTCACCGTCCAGCGTTCCCGTGGGAACTGAGCGCAAGAAGCGACTGGCTGAAGGCACAGTTCAGTCTCCAGGAACTAGATCCACTCCCGGTCCTGGGTCCCGGCTAGCGGTGGCCAAGGTGGGCAAAGCTGCTGGAAGCCAGCCTGCTCTGGGGACCGGAGGGTGGCAGGAGGGAGTGGGAGGAAGGGAGCTAATCTCACCCCCCACATTAAGAAGGAGCTGCCCTGAGGAATGACCTTAATTATTAATAACTACCTGGATCTTGACGTCGTTTACTAGAAACCTAGCAGCCACTGAGAAGGTCAAGGTGAAGCGTCCAGGAGTCATGCATCTCGGGAGGGGGCAGTTCTGACCTGCAGAACGGTGACGCTTTTGTGCCTGGGCGAGTATTTGCTAATACTGTTAACAAAGGTCCAAAAAAAATCTTTGGCGCAGACATTAGCATGTTTGGCTATCATTTCAAAAAAGTTTAAAAAAATAATTTCCATGGCATCATTAAGACAACATTTATTCTGGCCAGGAAATCTTAAATATTTAGAATCTCGTCAAGTGGCTTCTGTGGAGCCAATGTGACTCCGTTTTTGCTGCTACATGTTAGGAGCTGCTTTAGCTCCATCTGGTGGCACCTGCGGGTAACTGCAGCGGTCCCTGCACCTGCTTCTGTTAGGGGTCGTCAAACAAGCAGGCGGTTCTACATCGCTTCCCAGTGATGATCTCCCCTTAAGTACTTCTTATAATTGTATCTATCCTGTGAAAGAGCTGAAAAGCAATACAAACAATATTTGTTCATTATAGAAAAATAATAGAGAGTTGCAGGAAAAAACAGCTGGTGATAATTACTGTTAATTTTCAAATGTACATTCTTTCAGCTTTTTACAAAAATTGGATGGACCCCAACTACATGTATTGCATTTACTTTCCATTATTTAATGATGCATTATAAAACCTCCTCGGTGCCAATACATATACAACTAAAGCATCATTGGAAAGGAATGACTGGTATTCCATGTTATGAATATAGAGTCCATGATCTTTAAAAATATCAAATTTCTGTGTTTAGACTTTAAGATTTCTTGTGTCTTTGGGCCCAGGACAGTGCTGAACACATAGTAGGTCCTTGATAAAAACGTGTTGACATTTGCTAGTCCAGCTCTTTAAGCAATGGGCACAAAGGTGAAGTCAGTCCTCAGAGGCGGTCTGACCCGCACAGTGGAAAATCCTTCCTCTTCCTGAACTCTTTCAGACTTGGCTTCTTGGAGGCGGTTTTATATGATCGGTACTGAGCTCACAGTACAATGAAGTTCCTAGCTCTCCATGGGGTTACTTCCTACTCTTCTCCTTCCTCTCTTTATGTGGTCCATGACTAACCTTTATACTGATATACAGGGTGCCCCCCCCCAATGAATACTCAACTTTGAATAATTATAAAGCCAGTGTTTATTAAAATACATTCCATTTTCAAAATGTAATAGAATCTACACACATCCTGTATACATTTTTGGGGACACCCCATATATACTAAATTTTTGTTGCGCAGCTGAAGTTTTTGACTCTTGATTCTGTTACTATCTAACATATCAGTAACTTATATCATATCAGCTGCCTGCTTGTCATTTACCTGTAAATACCCTGAACACACCCAAATCTTGTGAAGTCATCAATTAAAAACACATCAGCCCTGGCCAGTGTGTCTCAGTGGTTAGAGCGTCAGCCTGCCACTGAAGGGTCACGGGCTCGATCCCCGGCTCACATCGATGTTTCTCTCTCCCTCCCTCCCCTTCCCCTCCATTCCTCCCTTCCACTCTCTCTAAAAATCAATGGAAAAAAATATCCTCGAGTGAGGATTAACAAACAAAAGAGAACAACAAAACCCCCAAAACGTCGAACAGAAATCTAAATCTAAATTATAAATGATATATAATTCTCATCCAAATGACTTGTTCAGGATTTTGTGACAATTAAAATGAAAACTACGACAAATGCTGCAGACAGGCAGAGAGTCTTCAGCCTGCACAAGGCCTGAGCCCCAGCGTGTGAGGAAGTCGAGGAGGATGGTGGACGAGAACCCGGGAGTCTGGTCTACTTGCTCCTTCTGTGAGAATCTGTGCTTCTCACAGAACAAACTTACAGGAGAGTGGGAGGCAAAGTTCACTGTGGGTCTGTCACCAGTTACGGGGCTGCAGCCTGGCCCTGCGCTGGACAGTGTCTGTGAGGCCCAGGGGACACCCTCTCCCTCTCCTTCTCCAAGAGCCAGCGCAGGGCCTCACATGCACCGCTGGACCCTGGGATGTTTCTTTTCTGCGGCTTCATCTAGTAAACCTCCTGGTCCACTGAGGACCCACACGAAATGGGCCAGTACCGCCTCCGTCTTAGCTGCTCACTTAACAATTATTAAATGAGTCGTCACTGGCTGAGCCACACTGGTGTGTGTGTGTGTGTGTGCGTGTGTGTGTGCGTGTGCATGTGTGAGTATATGTGTGTGTGCATGTGTATGTGTGCATGCACATGTGTGTATGTTTGAGTGCATGTTTGTGTGTATGTGTGTGTGTGTATGTTTGTGTATATGTATGTGTGTGAGTATATGTGTATGCGTGAGTGTATGTGTGTATGTGTGAGTGCATGTGTGTGCGCATATGTGTGAGTGTATGTGTATGCGCAAGTGTATGTGTGTGCATGTGTATGTGTGCGTGCACAGGTGTGTATGTGTGAGTGTATGTTTGTGTGCATGTGTGTGCGTGCACGTGTATGTTTGTGTGTATGTATGTGTAAGTGTGTGTATGTATGTGTGTGCATGTGTATGTGTGTATGTATGTGTGTGTGTGAGAGTGTATATGTGTGTGTGTATGTGTATGTATGTGTGTGTGTATGTATATGTGTGTGTGAGAGTGTATATGTGTGTGTGTATGTGTATGTATGTGTGTGTGTATGTGTGAGAGTGTATATGTGTGTGTGTGTATGTGTATGTGTGTGTATATGTGTATGTATATGTGTGTGCATGTGTATGTGTGCGTGTGTATGTATGTGTGTGCATGCGTGTATGTATGAGAGTGTATGTGTGTATGTGTATGTGTGTGTATGTATATGTGTGTGCGTGTGTATGTATGTGTGTGCATGTGTATGTGTGTATGTATATATGTGTGTGAGAGTGTATATGTGTGTGTGTATGTGTGTGTGTATGTATATATGTGTGTGTGTGTGTATGTGTGTATGTGTGTGTATATGTGTATGTATATGTATATATGTAAGATACGGAAACCCTAGCTCTCACTTCCATTCGAACTTCTGCTCCCGCGGAGAAGAGCTCCATGGGTGACCCGATGACCATGGCCCTCAGATGATGTCGCGCCATCGGTTTGGGTGAGCAAACCTGACCCCACACGAAGACCGCAGGAGATGGATGATGGCTGCGCTGGGACCCTGAGTGTTAATGTTCGGGGCCACTCTCATCACTCTGGGAGCTTTGAGTTTGGCACGACCCATTCCTGGGCCCATGCGGCTGAAGACCACGGGGCATCACCGCAGGGCCAGCAGGCCAGCCTCCTCCAGCCTATGCTGCCCGGCCACAGGACCCTCCATCCACTTCCAAGACCAACCAAGGATGCAGACAGCGGCTGCCATCTGGGAGGTCACCCTGCCTTCCACCTTAGTTTGTGTTTGTGTTTTGGCCTAAGCTACTCATAAATCCTACTGACCGGTCGAGATATGTAAGGAAAAGAAAGAGGCCCAGAAACACCGCGGCCTGTAACGGGGCCTTGGAATGAATGAGGAGCGGTCACGCGTTCATGCTGGGGTAGCCGTGGAGGGCTGTGTCCCGAGGCAGACACCTCCGTGACCGGGAAGCCCGCTGAATGCGGCGGTTACCAGCAGGTGGGCACGCCAGGGAGCCTTCGCCTCTCCAGGAGCTGTTAGACGCCCCAAGGTGATCAGAGGACAGAGCCCATCTTCCTGGCTCCAGGACAGGAAAGCGCTGTGGGTTCCCCTCCCCCCTCT